CTTTTTTCCTTCCTCACTATTTACCAGTGATTGCCAACTCCCTCTCCAGTGTAAGCATTTGAAAACATTCTGTATAGTTCCAGAAGAGTATCTATGGGAATCAAAAACAATACGAGTCATTGAAATAATAAGTGGAAAGAAAAAGGAAACCTGTTTGAGCAAAGGTTTGAATTCCTTTGTTCTTTAGACTTTTTGCCAAAACTAACCTGGAGCATAGTTAGTACTTTGAGGTTCTCTCATTACTTTTAGCCCAACAGAAGAAGCACTAATGAGATAAAAGTAATTGAAAGATTCAAAAGCAGAAGCTTCTGGTCTGAATGGCCATCCCTTGAATAAATTAAAGCATTTAGTTTTTTAAATATTAAGTGCTTATTTGTCTATGTGCTGACTGCATTTTAAAACACAGATAATGTGTTGGAAGTGACCAAATAAATAAGAATCATGCTGACCTATCTTATTAAGTATGTAAAACTAGCACTTTAGTTATCTAGGAGATAAAGTAGCTCTTGATACTGTGAATACTGTATTACAAATATGTCATAATCTTATATTTGATTTTAAAAGAGAAAAAGCTACTTTTTTAAAGCTAAAGAATATCTTTATATGTGTATTTATAAGAAACGTCAAATTTATTTTAAAATGATTTTTTCTCCTATAGTTGATGAGGGTCCTAGTCCTCCAGAGCAGTTTACAGCTGTCAAATTGTCTGATTCCAGGTAAGCTTGAATTGAACTATAATTAACACATTATAATGCATTACTTAAAATATTATATATCCATTAAAAGTAGTGTATTTGAAGAATAATGAATTTGGAAAATGTTTCCTATATAATATAAGGTATTATATAACACTATTTAAAGGAAATAGAATTTTAAATTGTATGTATAGAACTACAGTGTCCAATGTGGTAGCCACTAGCCACACATGGCTTTTGAACACATGAACTATGGTTAATCTGAATTTTTATACACACACATTTTTTTATGTTGCACATTTAATTTTCTTTCAGTTTTTAACATTTATCTGTTTTATTAATCTGAAGAATTGCTCTGAAATCTGGCTATGGAAAATATCTTGGTATAAATTCAGATGGACTTGTTGTTGGGCGTTCAGATGCAATTGGACCAAGAGAACAATGGGAACCAGTGTTTCAAGATGTAAGTACTATTTTGTCTTTAAAAGCTTCTTGTCAATATAAGAGAAAGTCTCTAACAGTCAATGAGAGCATATATTCTAAAAAAAAATGTAGAATGCAATAATATAAATCATTAAATTGGGAAAACTCCACATGAATTCATAACCTTAAAAAGATCTCAAAAAATAGTACAGCACAGCAAAAAAAAAAATCAACAAAGTGAAAAAATAAGCTACAGACTGCGAAAAAGTATCTGCAAACCATATATCTGATAAGGGGTTAATATCCAAAATGTAGGAAGAACTCATACAACTCAGTAGCAAGAAAAGCCAAATAATCCAGTTTAAAAATGGGCAAACAACGTGTGTGATTTAGATTCCACCTATAAGTGAGATCAGTTTTTCTCTGTCTGACTTAATTTCACTTAGCATAATGTCCTCAGGGTCCATCCACGTTGCCACAAATGGCAGGATGTCCTCATTTTTAATGGCTGAATAGTATTCCCATGTGTGTGTGTATGTATGTATATACAACTTCTTTATCTTTTCATCTGTTGATCCACACTAAGGTTGCTTCTATATTTTGGCTACTGTAAATAATACTGCCATGAACAGGTATCTTTTTGAGTTAGTGTTTTTGTTTACTTTGGATATAATCCCAGAGATGGAATAGCTGAATCACTGCTAGTTCTATTTTTAATTTTTAGGATCCTCCATACTACTTTTCATAGTGGCCGTACAAGTTTGCAATGCCA